AAAAATTTAACTCCTACTGCATAGAAACATTTAAGAACCCAAATCACAGACAGAAGTAATGAAGTCTAAGCAATAAAACTTATGATTTGTTATTTACATATGAAACTATTTATCAATATGCATAAAAAACAAAGCAGCAGTGTGATATATAGTAAATCAGAGAATTAGGCTAGGATATTATGTTATTTGGCAAGTAAGGAGTAGGCTGGGATATCGTTACCTATGACAAGTAGCAAGGAGTCTGGAGCAGCATTATTTGTCTCGTGTTACTTTAGCAAGTAACTGGTATATCGTTATCTGTGTCAGGTATATGTAAGTAACATATAGGCTGGTTTATCGATATCTGTGTCAGGTATATGTAAGTAACATATAGGCTGGTTTATCGTTATCTGTGTCAGGTATATGTAAGTAACATATAGGCTGGTATATCGATATCTGTGTCAGGTATATGTAAGTAACATATAGGCTGGTATATCGTTATCTGTATCAGGTATATGTAAGTAACATATAGGCTGGTATATCGATATCTGTGTCAGGCACATGTAAGTAACATATAGGCTGGTATATCGATATCTGTGTCAGGCACATGTAAGTAACATATAGGCTGGTATATCGATATCTGTGTCACATTTATGCAAGTAACGACTAATGTAGAATATCATCAAATGTCGCAAGTATTGAGTAGACTGTAATATCGTTTCTGTAGCAAGAATATTGTTGTATCAAGATTAAGAGCGTGATATTGCTACCTTTCGTTCTCCTGAATAGTACATCGCATTTTAACGTACAATTTCCTAAGGCCGAAAAACTGATGTACCAAAACTGGTAGCGGCTCTTGAATTTTACGGGAGGTCCCGTTTTCTCTCGGTGGGTCCTCTGGTTGGTTAGGTTTGGGCACTTTCGTACAACAATTTAGTGAGGTTGTGAACACTCGGGAGAACGGACTGTCTGTGATAATTAACTTGAACTTAACATCCAACATTACATTAGTGTAATTACAGTTAATTCTAATTTCAGGTCAACTGGTTCGAAAAACTAGGTGTAGTGTTGGCCAACTTTTTTAGAGAGAGAGAGATAGAGAACAGGTCACAGCAAAGGCAAAGTCGCCTAATCATTGCTTGACCAGGAACAAAAAAATAGAACATAAAGGCATAGTTTACTGAGGCATATATGAATGTAATACATAGCCTAAAGGAACGTCAGACTTGAATTTTCGATAATATTCAGCGGTTTGGTAATTATTGCAATCATGTATTTAAGTAATTTCATAGACTTCATTTATCTTAATATCGTATGTATGGATCATATTTTGGAGGACAGATATGAGAGACCTCAATGGGTAATCCAGACTCCTTGCTACTTGCCATAGGGAACAATATCCCAGCCTACTCGTTACTCGCCAAATACGGTAGCCTAATTCTCTCAATTACTATATCACACTGCTGGTTTGTTATTGATGTGATACCTGCTTGATGGGTTTCTGGAAGTTCTCTCACAAGTCAAGCCCGGCCTGGGGCCAGGCTTGACTTGTGAGAGTTTGGTCCAACAGGCTGTTCCTTGGAGCAGATCGCATGCCTACATATTCACTACAGCCCGGTTCGTATGGTGCTTCTTGAAGAAACCTATCTAGTTTTCACTTGAAGATGTCCAAGGTTGTTCCGGCAATATTTCTTATGCTCGCTGGGAGGGTGTGAAACAACCGTGGACCTCTGATGTTTATACAGTGTTCTCTGATTGTGCCCATGGCACCTCTGCTCTTCACTGGTTCTATTCTGCATTTTCTTCCATATCGTTTACTCCAGTACGTTGTTATTTTACTGTGTAGATTTGGAACCTGGACCTCCAGTATTTTCCACGTGTATATTATATGTTTCTTTCGTCTCCTTTCTAGTGAGGACATTTGGAGAGCTTCGAGACGCTCTCAATAATTTAGGTGCTTTATTATTTTTTTTTGGCTGACGCAATATTTGCTTGGTTATGCTAACCACTTGGACTGGACGGTAGAGCGACGGTCTCGCTTTATGCAAGTCGGCGTTCAATCCCTGACCGTCTAAGTGGTTGGGCACCAATCCTTACACATCCCAAATCCTCATCCTGACCCCCTTCCAAGTGCTATATAGTCGCAATGGCTTGGCGGTTTCCCTTAATAATTCCTCTCCCTTCCCTAAACGTTAGGTCGTCAGACATCATTATTCCCAAATCCTTTACATGATGCTTTCCTACTGTGGGCAGATTTGATTGTGTTTTGTACCCTGTATTATATTTAAGGTCCTCATGTTTACTGTACCTGAGTGCCTGGAATTTATCACTGTTAAACATCATGTTATTTTCTGCTGCTCAGTCAAAAACTTTATTAATATCTGCTTGTAGTTTTTCAATGTCTTCAACAGAGGTAATTTTCATGTTGATATTTGTCATCTGCAAAGGATGATACGAAGCTGTGACTTGTATTTGAGTCTATATCTGATATGAGAATAAGGAAAAGCAGTGGTGCAAGGACTGTACCCTGAGGTATAGAGCTTTTAACTGCGCTTGGACTCGATTTTATTTGGTTGACTGTTACTCTTTGTGTTCTGTTCGACAGAAACTTTAGTATCCACAGTCCTATTTTACCAGTTATTCCCATTGACCTCATTTTGTGTGCTATCACTCCATGGTCATATTTATCGAATACCTTTGCGAAATCTGTGTATACCACATCTGCATTTGTTTTTATTCTAAAGCCTCAGTGATTTTGCCGTGGTGGTCAAGTAGCTGTGAGAGGCATGATCTTCCCGCTCTAAATCCATGTTGGCCTGGGTTGTGAAGGTCATTGGTCTCCATGAAACTGGTGACCTGACTCCGAATCACTCTCTCAAATACTTCTATTATGTAGGACGTTAGTGCAACTGGTCTATAATTTTTTGCTAATGGTCTGCACCCTCTCTTGTGCAGAGGGGCTATGTCTGCTGATTTAAGCGCTTTGATAAGCAGTTTCATATATAAATAACGTCATAACTTTTATTGCTTAGACTTCCTTACTTCTGAGTGTCTGTGATTTGGTTTCCCAGATGTTTCTATGCAGTTAAATTTATGGGGCGGTGTGATGGTGGGGGGGGGTCCCATCCACTGATGACGTCACAGGTCGAGTAGCCAGACTTTTTTTTTTACAACAATTGTTAATGTCTACAATAATAATTATCACTTAATTAACAAATTCAAATTGTTGAAAAGATAACGTTTCGTGTATATTAATATTACAAGAGCATGTTATGAGCGGGTTTAGTGTGCTGAACACCAGAGATGATATTACTAGGTGGGTGGTGTGTTTACCTGAAGCTTCTGATTGGCTGTTGTGGTGAATGTCAACAAAGAGTTTCTACCAATAAGATGCGAGCACGGGAGGGAGGTGGGGAGGGGGGGAGTACCTGCTTTAGCACAACAACCCGCCTTATGGGCCAACCTGTCCTCTTAAAAAGAACGTCGCTTTTGGCCGTTTGCCGTATGGCCGAATTTGGACGTAATTTGAAAATGAAAAAAAAATTAAAATAAATTTGGGATTTCTTTTTTCAACAACAGTAAGTTAAGGGTCCTCTGATAGGGTAGGTGGGCAGGAAATTCTCATAAAGTTTCAAAACGTTATGAAAAACGTGAATTTAAAGTGTCCTCTTATAACCTCTGCGCGTAAGGCGGACGACTCAAATAGAAAACGGAACAGAACGTCACTTTTGTGAGTCGATTTCATTTCAAATTACGTCCAAATTTAGCCATATCGCGCATACCAGCCAAAAGTGACGTTCTTTTTAAGAGGACGGGTTGTATGGGCTGCTGTTGGCCTCCTGATAGTTCATTTGCATTCCAACAGATGGCACCACCTGTATATTACGTGATAGTGTTAATTTAATGCCAATTATGGCATGAGATGTACCATATGACTCCTGCTAACCTAACCTGTCGATAGTGCATTATCCTGCCGATAGATAGCATCAACTGTATTTATGACCTCCGAAAAGATAACAAAAATGTGTGTAGGTTAGTTAGGGTTGGTCATACTTCTACATTTAGGGAAATTAGGTACGTTGCTCCAATATGGCGGCTTAGGGCCCCGCACAGGAATATCCCTGCCAAAAAAATATAAAAATATGGCGGGAACATTTCTTCAGCGCCGCCCTTATTTGGCGGGGCTGACCTAGCACGCTAGATATTTAAGCGAAAGACTGGATGACCCGGTAAATATGTCACCGTCAGTGAACTATGAGTTGGCAACTTAGTTCTCTGTGAACTCCCAGATCATACAGAAACTCCCACTATTTTCTAGCGTTTTGGTATGTAATTTTGAATCGTGTTGGACTGGTCTTTAGTCCGACTGTTTGGTTTTAAGGTCGCCCACCAGCAAGTATACTTTTGTCCTGGATATAGTCCAGAACTAAAGTATACTGAGTGTATTGATAATGATAATAATATAATTGATAATGCATATTAATTATGTTATATTTTAGGCTTGGTCTGGTAGTGAGTTCAAGGCTTATCAACCTCTGTATGGTTATTAAAGCCACCATAATTGCTTACTGTTCAACCAGCATGTATACTTCAGCACCGAACACACTGTAGGAGCTACAGTGAACACTCGGTGAATATACACCAAACATCAGGATACGCTTCTCAATGGCAATATCCCTGAAAGGGTTTGTTTGGTGTTGGACTTGAGACTCATCAACTCTTGAAGGGTTATAAAGCACCTAACAAGTGCTTACTGACCATGGCGTAGGAGCAGAGACTACTCTTCAGTGCTCACACCGAGAAGCGGAGTATAATACACCTCTCGGTGAATATATCTGATGATTTACGTTATTATATCGCGTTTATATAGTCTTTCGTACTGGTGGATTTCTATTAAATGTCTTGTTTTATTATATATTTTTTCCCAGTTAAGCCTATCGTACATATGATTGGAGTCTCTCTCTCTCTCTCTCGTCATAATTTTATTTTGATTCAAATATTTTTATTCCAGGGAAGACAAGAGCAGTACAGTGGTGCCTAACCTGACCTTCAAGGAGCGATTGAGTGGCCTAACCCGATCATCGATAAGCGGTAGCGTGACCTAGGCAGAAGGATGACCTCGCCCCTGATGTTCTTTCGAGCGGTGCCGGTGGCCCTGATCCGGCTGCTGCTGCTGGTGGTGATCCGGGAGGCTGGTGAACACGTCTACGACGCCTCCGCCAGGCTCATTGACCAGTACGACTTTGTCGTCGGTAAGCTGGCTGGGGTCGTCCCTTGTTCTTTGGTGTGTGGTGGGCTTCCCTCTTGATCTTTATGTAAATGTGTCTGGATCTACAAGTAATTTAGTTATTTGCCTGTATTTTGAACACATGTTTATTTTGAAGTTTATTATTATGTACTGTATTTCTCTCTCTTTCTCTCTCTCTCTCTCTCTCTCTCTCTCTCTCTCTCTCTCTCTCTCTCTCTCTCTCTCTCTCTCTCTCTCTCTCTCTCTCTCTCTCTCTCTCTCTCTCTCCTCCTCTCTCTCTCTCTCTCTCCCCCTCCCCTCCCCCTCCTGTCATTTAGATGTATAATCCCCCCCCCAACGGCCATAAGATGATGTGGTTCACAAAATTAATGGGCTGTCACGTTTTCGATTCATGGGTCCTCGGTAAGGTTAGGTTCGGGCAGTTTATAATACATCTTTTGTGTGACGTTGGAACATCTCAAGTTCAAGTATGTTTATTGAGGTGATGAAATTTTTGGGGTAGATTGCTTTTTTATTAATTTTTGAGGATTTCGATTTTTGTTGTTGGGGATTTGAATTGTTTGTTGGCAGATTTTATTATTTTTGGGGGTGGGGGCGATTGGCGGATTTTGAATTTGTTTGTTGGTGGATTTGGATTTTTTGTTTACTGATTAGGATTTTTTTTGCGGATTGGAATTGTTTTGTTTTGTTGGCGGATTTAGATTTTTTCTTCGAGGATTTGGAATTTGTTTTTGCCGGATTTTGAATTTATAGTTGGCAGAATTGGATTTTTTTAGGGGGGTTGGCGGATTTGGATATTTTTGTTTTTTATTTGTGCCTTTCGTTCGTCTCCCACCCTGAAACTGTATGAGGAAACCGGGATCCTGGTGCCAGATTCACGAAGCAGTTACGCAAGCATTTACGAACCTGTACATCTTTTCTCAATCTTTGGCAGCTTTGGTTACAATTATTAAACAGTTAATGAGCTCCGGAGCACCAGGAGGCTGTTTATAACAATAACAACAGTTGATTGTGAACTTTCCATGCTTGTAAACTGCTTAATAAATGTAACCAAAGCCGTCAAACATTGATGAAAGATGTACACGTTCGTAAGTACTTGCGTAACTGCTTCGTGAATCTGGCCCCAGGGTAGACTGAACAAAACTTTCCCCTGGTCTCTATTTTTCTTTTTCCTCCTCCCAACTACACAGTTGGTGGCGGATCTGCAGGCTGCGCCGTCGCTACGCGGTTGGCGGAGATCGGGAAATGGAAGGTGCTCCTGCTGGAGGCCGGAGGGACCCCTCCGCCAGAAAGCCATGTTCCAGGCCTCCATCAACTCCTCCTCCTTGGCGACCACGACTGGAAGTACTACTCGGCGCCACATAAAAACATATTTTTCGGCTTCACGGGTAACGTAAGTGACGACGATTGCGCAGCCTTCGCAATCCCAGACTCCAACCCATTCTCGCATTTTCTTACAGTCAATATTGACTTATTAAATACGTGCATATGTGACATACTAATGTATTGTGAATATTTTAGTTTACCTTGAAAAGCTTCATAGAAAACACCGACCTTACCTAACCTAGTTAGTATTTTAAGATAAGTTTTCTATGAAGCTTTTCAAGGGAAAGTAAAATATTCACAATAAATTAGTATGTCACATATGCACGTATTTAATAAGTCAATATTGACTATACGAAAGTGCGAGAACGGGTTGCAGACTCACCCCCTGGTATGGCAGATATTTGAGGCGTTTCATCGTGCATGCAAACATTCTTGTCACTAGACGGTGCTTAGAAATAGAGGAGGAGGAGGAGGAGGAGGAGGAAGGGGGATAATGAAGGAGACTGGGAATATGGTGAGAGAGAAGAAGAGAGGAAATATGGGTAATATACCATCACACTCACATTGTAGTACCCCTAATATTAATAATAGCAGGCGTCCCTAGTATTAATAGCTGTAGCTGGTCCGCGTGACTGTAGTACTAGAAGAGGTAGGAATAGTGTTGTAAGACAGAGGGGGGGGGGGGTTACCATCGGTAAAGTTTGAATTCCACTCTTGACGGCAAATACTCTTTCTTGAAGGTTGTGAACTTTGACCTAATCAATTATAGCCTAAGTTTGCCCCTCACAAGGGAAGAAATAACAAATTCAATTTTCTTTCTCAATTTCTGTTAGTTCTTTTATATTTGTCAGACTTTATTTCCCTGGAAAAAGTTACGGGGTATGCTCACTCTATTCTGGCTCCTGTACCGTAGTGTGTGCTATGCTACAGGAGCATAGTGTGCTATGCTACAGGAGCATAGTGTGCTATGCTACAGGAGCATAGTGTGCTATGCTACAGGAGCATAGTGTGCTATGCTACAGGAGCATAGTGTGCTATGCTACAGGAGCATAGTGTGCTATGCTACAGGAGCATAGTGTGCTATGCTACAGGAGCATAGTGTGCTATGCTACAGGAGCATATGTGCTATGTTACAGGAGCATAGTGTGCTATGTTACAGGAGCATAGTGTGCTATGCTACAGGAGCATAGTGTGCTATGTTACAGGAGCATAGTGTGCTATGCTACAGGAGCATAGTGTGCTATGCTACAGGAGCATAGTGTGTTATGCTACAGGAGCATAGTGTGCTATGTTACAGGAGCATAGTGTGCTATGCTACAGGAGCATAGTGTGCTATGCTACAGGAGCATAGTGTGTTATGCTACAGGAGCATAGTGTGCTATGTTACAGGAGCATAGTGTGCTATGCTACAGGAGCATAGTGTGCTATGCTACAGGAGCATAGTGTGCTATGCTACAGGAGCATAGTGTGCTATGCTACAGGAGCATAGTGTGCTATGCTACAGGAGCATAGTGTGCTATGCTACAGGAGCATAGTGTGCTATGTTACAGGAGCATAGTGTGCTATGCTACATGCTACAGGAGCATAGTGTGCTATGCTACAGGAGCATAGTGTGCTATGCTACAGGAGCATAGTGTGCTATGCTACAGGAGCATAGTGTGCTATGCTACAGTTCCGTTATTCTTTATTCTGGCTCCATTCTACCCAAACGGGTATTCTGGCTCCCGACAACGGGAATTAATATTAATTATATAACTAACATACTCCTAACCAAGATACTATAATAGAGTGAATATCAGCTAGAAGGCATCGCCTTCCAGCGCCCCCAAGTACTGTAGGAGCAGCAATGGTTGCAGTAGCAAAGTTATCATATATCATTTCCTATTGCATTTGCATGGTAGCTCTGGGTATAGCATGGTGTGATACCTCCCAACACCCTTACCCACCTGTGGTGTGGTCCGGGATTTACGGAAAGTAAGTAATTATCACAGGAAGGCACCAAGCCGGGAAGGCTACGTAGCACAGGATTTATGGGAAACATTTCTGTAGGAAGATATAGGTCTGTCATGTCCGAGGATTGCTAGGTGGTGTTGGGTTAAGTCTTTTATTTATGTTACAGATACAAAAAAGTTTCTTATTTGTCCAGATTCAATATTACAAAAGTCAACTTTCTGGTGGTCCATCACTCCATATTGGTACTTTCGATCAAATACTTACTATAAGTACTTATATTTAAAGTAGAGGAGTTATATTTGATCCACTCAACCATACACATTCCTTCTACAACACCACATGCAATGGAAATGTAGCCAGACAATCAACCGGGTCCTCCCAACTCTCCAACACATTTCTCCTCAACAGCGAACCCCTTATCCACGGGGACGGGTCATAGGCGGCTCATCAGTCATCAACTCCATGTTCTACTTGCGAGGCCACAGGAATGACTACGATAACTGGGAAGCCCTTGGCAATCCTGGCTGGGGGTTCAAGGACGTCTTCCCGTACTTCCTCAAGATGGAGGACTACAGGGGCAAGATCACCAAGAAAAATGGTAGGTACAGGTGGGTGCGCAGGACCTGGTAAGCTGAGCAGTGCGCATCATCTTCAACACATTTATAGTAATTGCTGAAATAAATGTAATTTTGAATATACAATAACGTAATACATTTACATGTGTTGTGGTGTTCTTTTGGACACAAATTTGAAGGTTTAAAATTAATTTCCAATGAAGTTATATGCTTTAAGTATTAAACAAATGCTAAAGTGTCAGGTTTTATAATATTATTACAAATGCAAAGTATTCCAGTTGATCCAAGATAAAACAATTCTGAAACAAGACAGTGCAATTTCCCAGTGTGTGTGTGTGTGTGTGTGTGTGTGTGTGTGTGTGTGTGTGTGTGTGTGTGTGTGTGTGTGTGTGTGTGTGTGTGTGTGTGATTGATTGATAAAGATTAAGCCACCCAAGAGGTGGCACGGGCATGAATAGCCAGTAAGTGGTACAATTTTTTTTTCTCAGTATTCTGAGGTTGCATTTAACCATCAAGCTGTTATCGCGGGGGAGGATACTGCTTCACAGTCTTTATGAGGGTGTCCAGCTGCTGGACACCTTTGTTGACCAGGAGAGTGGCTGTGTTGATGGCTTCTGGGTGGGCACTGCATGATTCAGGAACTCTTAAAGCTCTTCTAAGGTCATTGGTTGCTTCACATTCCAGAAGATAGTGAAGTAATGGCTTTTCTGTGACAGTTTGGCAGAAGATGCACTCTCTCTGTCGGGGTTCACTAATCTCCCAGTTGCATCTGTAACCTAGACGTAGTCTATATAACCTGACTGCTATTTCCCTGTGGATTCCTTTCGGGATATTTAACCTTTCTAATTTGGTTGCCTGAAGATACCATGTTGCAGATGGCGAACCTTCAGCTATTCTCTGGTGTAGGTAGGCTTTGTTGAGATGTGAGAGTTTTTTGGTGATGATGTTTTTTATGTTCTCTAGGCTGGGTTGAATTGTTTTATGTATCACTGGATGACGAGCTGCCAATTTAGCAATTTCATCAGCTTTTTCATTTAATGGGATTCCAATATGGGATGGGATCCAGTTTAAAGTTATATTGAGTCCTTTGCCTTTAGCAACTGCTCCAAGGTGTGTGTGTGTGTGTGTGTGTGTGTGTGTGTGTGTGTGTGTGTGTGTGTGTGTGTGTGTGTGTGTGTGTGTGTGTGTGTGTGTGTGTGTGTGTGTGTGTGTGTACTCACCTAGTTGTACTCACCTAGTTGTGTTTGCGGGGGTTGAGCTCTGGCTCTTTGGTCCCGCCTCTCAACCGTCAATCAACAGGTGTACAGATTCCTGAGCCTATCGGGCTCTGTCATATCTACACTTGAAACTGTGTATGGAGTGAGCCTCCACCACATCACCCCCTAATGCATTCCATTTGTCAACCACTCTGACACTAAAAAAGTTCTTTCTAATATCTCTGTGGCTCATTTGGGCACTCAGTTTCCACCTGTGTCCCCTTGTGCGTGTTCCCCTTGTGTTAAATAGACTGTCTTTATCTACCCTATCAATCCCCTTCAGAATCTTGAATGTGGTGATCATGTCCCCCCTAACTCTTCTGTCTTCCAGCGAAGTGAGGTTTAATTCCCGTAGTCTCTCCTCGTAGCTCATACCTCTCAGCTCGGGTACTAGTCTGGTGGCAAACCTTTGAACCTTTTCCAGTTTAGTCTTATCCTTGACTAGATATGGACTCCATGCTGGGTGTGTGTGTGTGTGTGTGTGTGTATATAAACTTTTGTTCCACCCCCAGCTCACCTTCATGGGTTCGGCGGGCCTCTGACAGTGGAGAACAAGAAGTGGAGAACTCCAATAGTGCAGGGATGGCTGAAGGCTGGGAAGCTGTTCGGGTACAATACAGTGGATCCCAGCGACCCTAACCTTATAGGTAAGTTTCTCCTTCACTCCCCTAAAAGTATAATCACTTTTAGAGTTTAGTCCTGGATTACGTTGCAGACTTGTTGCTTGGTCAGTAAGCTGTTGTGGGGGACTTAACAACCCTTCAAAACCAAACTATTACTTGTGTAATGACTGAAGCTGATTTGCTAATGTATCGCTGCTCCATCTGCTACCATAACTGGTGTTAAGAGCTGCTACTGCAAACTTTCCAGGCTTCTCTGTGGTGGACTACACAACGAGGAACAGCATGCGTTGGTCCACGGCCGAAGCCTACGTCAAGCCCTCAACCTTCAGATCCAACCTTCATGTCGTCCTCAATGCACACGTCACTCAGGTACGTTGATGTCACTACCTGTGGCCGAGCATGTCTTCTAGCAAGTGACGTACGTGCATACATCAAATGACGTACAAACATACACGTCACCAAGCAAATGACAAACACACACAGTAATTGCCTATGCTTCCAGCATAGGCAATTAAATTATAACACTGGACCAAATTATATTACATTAGTGTAAATCTAAACTACAAAGCACAGTATTTAGAGACTCGACATTTAGTTGCATATTTCCTACATGAGGTTTATGTTATTTTATTTATTTATTTATATACAAGAAGGTACATTGGGTTTGTTAGAATACATAGCATAGTACAGTAATTACACTCTTGTAAAGCCACTAGTACGCGCAGCGTTTCGGGCAGAAATCACTCATGTTTGATAAGCATTCCTGATTTCTTGTAACAAAATTGTAATGTGTTCTACGAAATTAAGTTGATAAAAAGTCGTTTTTAAATGTACATATTATAATATGAAAAAGATTCAGACCATTTTATATGCCAACAAATAATGTAAAATCATAAAAATCACGGGTTTTTCCTTCTGATAACATTAACATGTCTTGCTTATATCAGTTGGAGATACAGAATGGAAGGGCACTCATGATGTTGTTCTCCAACTGTTCAAACTGTGCGTTTTAAGAACATAACATAAGAACAAAGGTAACTGCTGAAGGCCTATTGTCCCATTCGAGGCAGCTCCTATATATAACCACCCAATCCCACTCATATATACATTATTAATAATGCAATAATTCTGGTTTCATCTTTAGATATTATTTAACGAGAAGAAGAGAGCAGTAGGAGTCAAATTCCTGCACAAGGGAAAGGTACGTATATCATAACCTATTATTATTATTAGCATTTGCTTTGGTGAGATTTCCTTTTATACCTAGTATATGTATGCTTAAAGAAGCCTATCTTGATTTTGTGTGTTCATTATGCACCCCATACCCATCCAGTGGGCGGTAGTGGACCCCATTCCCATCCCTTGGGAGGTAGTGGACCCCATTCCCATCCCTTGGGATGTCGTGGACCCCATTCCCATCCCTTGGGAGGTAGTGGACCCCATTCCCATCCCTTGGGAGGTAGTGGACCCCATTCCCATCCCTTGGGAGGTAGTGGACCCCATTCCCATTCCTTGGGAGGTAGTGGACCCCATTTCCATTCCTTGGGAGGTAGTTGACCCCATTCCCATCCCTTGGGAGGTAGTGGACCCCATTCCCATCCCTTGGGAGGTAGTGGACCCCATTCCCATCCCTTGGGAGGTAGTGGACCCCATTCTCATCCCTTGGGAGGTAGTGGAAATAGTTATAGAGGCGCCGATTTGGCTTAAAAACTAAATCACAAAATTCGTTTAGCTAAGCAAGTAACAGTTTGGTGGAACTAGTGATGCAGTTTTGCATTTTGGCTTAGCGAGGAACTTGATAATCTGTAACTTTATTGATGGTTGTGAATGGAATGTTAATGGGATAGTTTTATGTTTTAGGAGTAATTACCAACCACACCCTACACGACCAATCTAACCTCTTCCACCACCCTGTTAATATTTTAACCCCCCCCCCTCTTCCACTCCACATGGAGTGGAGTGGAAGAGGGAGTGGCGTGGAAGTTCACTCCTCTTCCACCAGACACTACACAGGGTAACCTCCCCATCCCATCCCCCACACAAATGGAACTCCCCCCCTCCAACCCCACATATTGGAACCCCTTTCCCCTGCCTCCCCCGCACCTGGTAAACTCTCGCCCTCCCCCACAGGTAAAGTCAGTACACGCCAGGCGGGAGGTGATCTTGTCTGCTGGCGCCATCAACTCTCCCCAGATCCTGATGCTGTCTGGCGTGGGACCCGCCGACCAGCTTGACCGCCACGGTGTATGTATCCCTATTCTTACCGCCACGGTGTATGTATCCCTATTCTTACCGCCACGGTGTACGTATCCCTATTCTTACCGCCACGGTGTACGTATCCCTATTCTTACCGCCACGGTGTATGTATCCCTATTCTTACCGCCACGGTGTATGTATCCCTATTCTTACCGCCACGGTGTATGTATCCCTATTCTTACCCCCACGGTGTACGTATCCCTATTGTTACCGCTACGGTGTATGTATCCCTATTCTTAGCACCTCGGTGTACGTATCCCTCTCCTCCTCCTCCACCTTTTATCCTCCTATCTATACTGGACAATTTGGAGGATATTGTTCGAGACAACTTCTTCAAACGGTCAGATGTAACAGGAACAAGGAGCAGTGGTATCAAGTTCAACCAGGCACTGTGTTGGACTGAAAACAGGAGAACCTTTTTCACCCATAGAGCTATAAACCCATGGAACCGCCTAAATGCCAAAACGCTGTTTAATTTTGGAATCTAGCTTGAAATATCATCGGGACAAATTTGGGACCTTTGACAAGCCGTCGGCTTCTTGTCCTCTTCAAAGGCCCCTAGAGTGTTAGTGGCCCTCAGGTAAATTTACGTAAAATCTCCTACTCTTCGTCATCCTCTCCTACTTCTACTATTCCTCCTTTCTACCGAGTAGCGTTTTAATTTTTACTTGAAGAAACTCGCATTCAAGTCTTTTCATTTGTAACCTAAATTCTTCTCTTCCGAGAAGTGCCAAAATGTTTTCCACTGAGAACAAGACATTTGAATCCGTGTGATCATGAGCAACAAAACCTCAAAAATTCCAATCATTTCAGGGTTCCCACAAGCATAGAACAATCGAAAACGTTCCCCTATAGAACGCATACATCACCCCTACGATAATTCTAGGTATCATTACAATCAAATGTTTCATACGTTCCGTTGTCAGACTCAACCCTCAAAAAAACGATACAGTACAGCGTTTCGTGCGTTCCATTGTCAGGTTCACCGTGAAAAACCGCACAGTACAACGTTCGTATGTTCCATTGTCAGATTCCGTTGGTGGCGAACGTTCCGGGCGTTGGCCGAAACCTGATGGATCACGCCTACCTCAACGGCATCTCTTGGACCACCAGGAACGGATCGTCATTCAACGTTCTGGACACCGCCAGGCCCGAGGTTCTGAAGGAGTACATCCATCGGAGGGACGGTGAGTAATATTCTGTTGTTGGAGAGAAAAAGGGAGAGAAAGAGAGAGCACTTATTTTAGTGAAGTGGAACAATACAATAGAGGAAGAAAAGTGCACTTGTACCTCATCAGTGTTGGATATCCGTGTGCATGGGAAATAGACTTACAGGTTCCAGAGGAAGAAAGGAAATGTTTCAGAAGAAGGGAGGTGATAGTCGGCAAAGTTCATAGCGGAGCTGAGGTGGCCCATCGGTCGGACGTTGGAGTCGAGGTTTCCAGTCTTAAACATCTGAGAAAGTGTAAGTTTGTTGAGTAAAATGCCCAGGGTAAAAGCCCCTGTTGGGAAGCTATCTGTGAGTATGTATATATATATATATATATATATATATATATATATATATATATATATATATATATATATATATATATATATATATATATATATATATATATATAGTACTAGTTGGAGATGTCTTGGCATAAAAGGATGCTATAGGTTCACCAAGCACTCCCATACCCAAGTGCAGGGTTGGTCATACAGCCTATACAACCTCCTTATGCAATAGCCGATCGGTGAACTAAAACACTTCATATTCTTATTCAACCAGCCTTTTTCTGATATACCTTTCGGTGTAGAAATCTACTAACATCATTCACGGACGATACATACACATATTCAGACCCAAAGAAACCAAAGACAGAGTTGCCGGTACTCTAATCCATTTGTGTTCTGTCTGAGGTCCTTCTCTGATACACAGGACTGCTGACAACGGCCGTCTCCATCGAGGCTTATGCGTATCCGCTGGCGGAAGTTGGAGACCCCAACTGGCCCGAAGTGCAGGTCACCTTCCTACCCTTTACCGTCGGCAACGACTTCGGCATCCTCTCCTCCCACATTCTTGGCTTCAGAAAGGACGTACGTCTAACCCTTCCCCCTTCCCCTCCTTCATCGTCTTTCTCGTGTATCGTGTATATTATCACTAATTTCATCTGATTGTTGGACTTCATGATTTTCGTGAAAACTGAAGGCTTTGTGTGCATTATTTGCTTCATAAATCATCGACTTATTTATTTTGTTATTAGTTTTGATCATGTTCTTTTAAGCTATATTGAATATTGTTACATTAGATAATAGAGAAATGTATGTCAATTCTGATAAGTAATGACTTGCTGAGGTTCGATCACTGACCATAATTGATCAGAAAAATGATGCATACATCGTAGTGCTGTAATTCTTCGTTTGATTAGTATTAGCATACGACATCAGTCATGTATCTAATAACAAATTCTTCCATCTCAAAAGTTAATGATTACGATGATTATATAAAGTTCATTAGACAGAAATGAATACGCTAACATAAGTTTTCTGAATACCAGCAGCAAACATAACTTATCCTTTCACGTGGACTGCCTCCAAAGAGCTAATGTTTTGCTCTCTAACTCCCGTACATATGTTCCTTTGGTTTCTGATAACCCTTTGAATCCCCCTTAAAACTCTTTTTGTTTTTTAACCGTAAACTAAAACAGATCTTTAGTATCTGTCCTCCTGCCTTTGATCTTGTCAAACGTTTCCGTATCATTTACCCTTCTCTTCCTTATTTCTACGGTCTTCCTAAAACTCACGAGCCTGGTGTTCCTCTTCATCCTGTCATTTCTTGGAGAGGCTGTATTGGCTATCCTCTTGGCTCCTGGCTTGCCAGAACTCTAACTCCTTATCTTGGTATTTTTTCTCCTGCTCACCTCCGTCACTCTCGTGACTTCCTTGCAAGATTGCGTCTGCAGCCCTACTGTAAGAGGCTTAGTCTTAATGTTGATTCTCATTGTATTGAGAATCGATACAATGAGATTCAATTCAATGAATCAATACAATGAGATTCAATTCAATGAATCAATACAATGAGATTCAATTCAATGAATCAATACAATGAGATTCTTATTCTCATTGTTTCCCCTTGAGGATTTTCCTCTTTTCTTAGTCACAAGGCGGCTGAGGGCCTTCTTCATCTCCTGATAACTTACCCTTTTCTCTCACTCTTTCCCACTCGTGTACAGCTCTACCACCAGTACTTCGTCAATCTGGGTGGGCGGGAAGGGTTCTCCATCACTCCCTTTCTCGCCAGACCCAAGAGCAGAGGATCCATCACCCTCAGGTCCGCCGACCCGTTCGACCCGCCAGTCATCGACCTCAACTACTTCGACCACCCCGACGACATGGCAGCGTTTATCAGAGGTAAGGGATATAAGGGCAGGAAGTGTGAGTGGTGATATGTCATCACCCACGACGGAGACATGGTAGAGGGTTGTTGAGTGGAAGGTCCTTGTGAGGTGAAAGGTTATTTTAATATAAGAACGTCATAAAATAGCGACATGTCAAAACTATCCCTTCGACAAGATATGTGTTGCAATAAGAATGTCTCGGAGAAGCTGCAATTGCTCATATTGTCCAACACTGTCAACAATTAGACACTGTTTCACGTTACGATGCATCCTTCTAACATTATTCTGCCACTGTGAGAGATGGTCGAAGCATCTCCAGCATGTCCATTAAAATTAGTTGATGTATGGCAGAAATATTTGGTGCTCACCGTCTTCCCTGCCCTTCGCCACCTTCCCTGCCCTTCGCCACCTTCCCAGCCCTTCGCCACCTTCCCTGCCCTTCGCCACCTTCCCAGCCCTTCACCACCTTCCCTGCCCTTCGCACCCCTTGAATGGGGGATAATCTCCCACGGTGCAGTTGTCTCTCTGGGTACAAATTGTGAATCTGATTCATTCTGAGTGCAGTTGTAATGTTAGTAAAACATTTTGAACAATGTTCGACTGGCCGAGTCCGGGGCCTGACGACTGAGAGGAGAGCAATCGGGGTTGATAGTCATAAGGGTCCGGGGTCGATCCGTGGCGGAGGCAGAAACAAATGGGCAGAGTTTATTTCACCCTGATGCACCTGTTCATCTAGTAGTAAATAGGTACCTGGGAGTTGGACAGCTGCTACGAGCTGCTTCCTGGAGATGTGTGTGTGTGTGTTTACTAGTTGTGTTTTTGCGGGGGTTGAGCTTTGCTCTTTCGGCCCGCCTCTCAACTGTCAATCAACTGTTTACTAACTACATTTTTTTTTTTTTTTTTTTTTTACACACCACACCACACACCCCAGGAAGCAGCCCGTGACAGCTGACTAACTCCCAGGTACCTATTTACTGCTAGGTAACAGGGGCACTTAGGGTGAAAGAAACTTTGCCCATTGTGTGTGTGTGTGTGTGTGTGTGTGTGTGTGTGTGTGTGTGTGTGTGTGTGTGTGTGTGTGTGTGTGTGTGTGTGTGAAAAAATTGGGATTAAGAACTTGCCCGAAACGCTATGCGTGCTGATGGCTGTAAAAGAATGTAAGAACTCTTGTATATATAAAGAAATAAACGTAGACCTTCAATAAAGAATATCTGGAGCGTTTTGTTTTGTTTTTTGCAAGGTTAGGAGGAGCTAGCCTAAGAAATGTTATACCAATTAGAACACTAATTTCAGTAACACGATCAACGACGTTCGGAATATGTTATTAGTATCTTTGTAGAACGAGGCCACCTAAGGACAATCCTCAAAGTTTCTTCTGAATTTTTTCAAGCCATCTAAGCTTTCTTTCAGGCAGTAAAGGAAGCAGAGGTGCAGCATAATCTACTAAAGATGTGATGTATGTAAGGTACATCATTGTGACATTTGGCACCGTAGCCTGAGTGATACCCTGACACAGCCTGGAGACTCTTTTTAAGTGTCTCTTATACTGACATGCCGGTCTGACTACAACATGACCATACAGTGGGACCTCAAGGCCAAGGTATTTGAATGTGTTTCCGTATCCATCATTCCGTAGCTGGGAGTCATCATGCCTGAATTTACCTGAGGGGCCACTAGTGGGTTCGTTGAGGACAGGAACCCGGTGGCTTGTCAAAGGTTTCCCCCCAATTGTCCAGGTGATTTTTTCCAGCTGTATTTTAAAACTCAGCAGAGTTTTGGTGTTTACGCGCTTGGGCGGGTAGGCGGTTCCACGGGTTTACAACCTTATGGGTGAAAAAGCATCTCCTTATGCAGGCGATGAGTCACAATAACGTGGCTAAAGTATGTTGACCAGACCACACACTAAAAGGTGAAGGGACGACGACGTTTCGGTCCGTCCTGGACCATTCTCAAGTCGATTGAAATGGTCCAGGACGGACCGAAACGTCGTCGTCCCTTCACCTTCTAGTGTGTGGTCTGGTCAACAAAGCATCTCCTGTTTTATTTGTAATTGCATCTGGCGATTATCTCTTCCCTGCCTGGGTGGACACAGATATATTTTCTATTATCTACTGAGATGACTAAATAGTGATTCTGTCGTGAGTCTAATACAGAGTTAAGAGTCTTGAGTGTCAGCATATCCAGTGATGGGTATCATTATATCATCAGCATAGCTAATGATGTGTTCGTTGGGTGTACTAGGCTCAGAGTTTAGCAAAATATTATTTAAAATATTAAATAAGGTAGGCTGAGGACACCTACCGGTTGGGTGTCTAATTCAAAGCCTCTTGTTAAATGCTTATGCCCCTGGAACAATATAGATGAGAATATCAGTTGAAACAGTGCGGGGATTGGAACTAGCATTCTGGTAGGTACCAGTCCCACACCGTGACCAACTAGGCCACGACAGGACAAAAACTATTCAACTAGGTTGAATAGTTGACTATTCAACCAGCTGGGATCGTCAGACTCCTTTAGTGGACTCAATAGTGCCGGGTTGAATAGCTTTTGTCCTGTCATGACCTAGTGGGTTCAGGCATGCATCTGGTATTCATCGGATTCACAAACTTGTTCACAGAAACTCATCATGCATAATTCCACCGCGAAACTTGAAAAACATTAAAAATCTCCCACTTACTCATATTTTCTCTAACAGGTATAAGGTTCGGTATTAAAATTGGAGAGTCACCTCCTCTCAAAGATGACTTCGATGCCGTGTTCTACGACCGTGTGCTGCCGGGGTGCGAGCACGAGGTTCTCTACTCTGACAAGTACTGGGAGTGCTACGCCAGGAGTCTCGCGGGGACCATCTACCACCCTACCGGCACTTGCAAGATGGGCCCCACCTCAGACCCCTACAGTGTCGTCGACGCCCAGCTCAGGTTGGCGGGAATTAGAGAAAGTGTGTGTGTGTGTGTGTGTTTGTGTGTCAGAGTGAGAGTGAGTTAGTTAGAGAAGGAAGAGACAGAATGACAAAGAAAAACACACACACATCTCAGTTATATCCAGCTGATTGTTTGCTTTACGTAGCATAAACAAACAAAAAGCCACATAAAAGCTTCAATGTGAATATGGGGGAACAGGAGTCAAGTCAAAATTCAAGGTTGAAAACAGTAGTTAAATCATTATAATTCATTGTGTCGGGGGGACAGACAGCCAATTTATACATACATAACCATACATAACATGTTAGACTTATATCGAGAGTGGTTAAATGTCAGTGGTTAACCAAGGTGTCAGCGCAAGGTGCAGGAATATTAAGAAATGTATGAACACAGAATGTCATTTTACATATTAATATTCATGTTTATTTTGCAACATACTTACACATAAGACATTTACATAAACTCGATTGATGAAGATTAAGCCCACCCAACAGGTGGCACGGGCATGAATAGCCCGTAATATATATAAACTGAATAGACTTCAGGAGTTACAACCCGCTACTGTGTCAGGTAAGTCCACTACGGGCTCACCATAGCCCGTGCTACTTTGATACTTTTTGTTCCTAGAAGCTGAATCTTAAACAACAAATAAACTTCAGGAGTTGGGACCTCAGAACACTGAAAAGATTTACTGAAGCAAAAATTGTACCACTTACGGGCTATTTATGCCCGTGCCACGTCTTGGGTGGCTTAATCTTTATCAATCAATCAATCCATCTTCAGGAGTAATCGGTGGCTGCTTAGAAGTCAGTGCCTGAGGGTAATTATGTGACAGTAGGCTTACAAGTTTTTCATTTGTTATGCAAGCAATTGTTTTTTTATTTTTAAATTTATTCTTCAATTTATTGGGCTAATAATTTGTTTCAAAATAGTTTCTTGCGTCAGCTGCCAGTCATACTATTTATTTTAAGTTCAGTAATTACTGCATCGTTTAAGATGTTGGGCTTCAGAAAATTAACACCAATAGTAGTGACTTTAGGGTGAGATTTGGTTGGTTGGTGAGTTACAGAAATAAAAAAATAGAGGCCCAAAGACACAGCCCAACAGAACGGCAATGTTACTGAAAATTTTTTTATCTCCTTTTCTGTTGTGCAGGGTCCGGGGCGTGGCGGGCCTGCGTGTGATAGATGCCTCCATCATGCCAGCAATTACCACCACTAACACCAATGCCCCAACCATCATGATCGGAGAGAAGGCCGCCGATATGATCAAGTTGCACTGGGGAGCTCCCATCAGTACCCCGCTGGGATAAGAACGACCAGTGATCGAAGCGCATCTGAAAGGTTTTAGCTTTATGTCCTGTGCCGGTGTACTCGTCTTGTGTGTTGTTTTGCTTTCCTGTTGAGGGGTGACTCGTCCAAGCTACGATGTTTACTACAGTGTTGCAGATGTTTGTCGCATGATTTCCACCGAGGTGCTGTGCATGGCTGATAAGTTGATACATCTCTGGCAACTCACGTAGGTCTCAATGAAGTTAGTTGGGCTTTATTTGAGTCAATACTTGAATTAGTCCAGACCTGACCTTAGTCAGTTTAGGTCTAAGTGAGAGTCACCTGAGCATCAGGTAAGTCATGTAATCCTCATTTGAATCAGTTTGCCCTCATCTTAGTTAGGTGGTCATCAGTTGAGTTACATACGAATGAACCGAGTCCGGTGAACCTTAGCTGAGTCCAGCGAGTCTTAGCTGAGGTTGGTGAGTCTCAGTTAGCCCAGATTCAACAGGTGTCTATCTGCTATACAAAACATCTTTAATTTGTGGGGCTGGAAGATTGCGATCGGTCGATTAAATCTCTCCTCTAACTGAACCCGCTCTTAGACTCATATGTATGTTCTAAAAGCCGAATCCTGTGGATGAGGTGAGGAATAAGGAGCAGCAGATACCTGAGTAAGTTGTGCCGCCATAGGTAATCATTAAATACCGAGGTGGTGGCGTAGAGGGTCGTATCACTGCCCTGTTGTCCCAGCGCAACCCGTCCTCTTAAAAATAACGTCACTTTTCGCTGGTATGCGCACTATGGGCAAATTTGGACGTAATTTGAAATAAAATCGACTCACAAAAGTGACGTACTGTTCCGTTTTCTGTTTGAGTCGTCCGGCTTACTCGGCCCGCTTAGAAAAGGATTCTTTTCGCGACCCAGGTTCGAGGCGCCAGCTTAAGCTTTCATTGTTGCGCTGATCCGGTTTCTCTCGTTTTTTCAATCAGTGAAGTAAATTAAAGCCCTGGAAAAAAATAGCATATGAATAGGGGAAATTGTAGAAGGGCGGCCTATTGGCCCATAGGAGGCAAACTCCTATTATGTCTAACCTACGTTTGAAACAATCCAGGGACTCTTACGTCAATTATATTACTCGTTAATTTATTACAGAAATGTGCAGCCCCAGTCACACTGTAATATTTATCCAGGTCTTTTATGAATCTAATAGAGTTTTCACCTTACGTTTCACTGCCACTGGATTGCCTCTGTTCCTTGCAGTAATTGATGTAACTAGATGTTAAAACATTGGCAGATTGTGTTGTAAAGAAAATATATTTAATTATTTATTTATTTATTTATTTATTTATTTATTTATTTATAAGAACGTTAAATGGGTTAGTTTAGAATATTTTATGTGCAAACGGTACATGCATGGTACAATACAACCCTATGGTGTTGAATTGTGCAACCTGTTCTCCAAAGGCACAAACTATGGTCTTGAATGTTATTTGTCCCACAAAACCATTAACATGATGCTAAATTACCCATCCCGGTTCCAGTGCCTGGTTAAGGCCTAATGGCCAACATGCCAATAACAACACAGTAATAGTAATAATAATAATGAACAATGAAATCACAGTACCCAGAATGTATCAATGATAATATCAGTAGGAGCTATGAGGAGGATTCGAACTTGCACACTTGGTATTCTCATGCACACACGCCTACACCACGAGTTGGTGTAGTTTGACAACCCGTCCTCAGACCAAGTCCATTCCATCCAGAGGTCGACCCCAAAGACGCATTCATCAATTTCAACATGCTGTTCATTCAAAATAGGTAGTTTCTCAAATATAAAATAATATTGTTATATATTAGCACACACTGCATATTTAGGCATTTGCTTAGGTTAGGTTAGGTATTTAGGTTCTGTTGGCGGTTATTTGTATTTGTAGTACGTGGGTGAAGCATTTACAGGGTTGTGGTTCGAACAAAAGTCGTCAGCGAAGCACTTTATTGATTTATATACAAGAAGGTACTTTGGGTTTATGGGAGTACATAGCATTAATGTTTTACATTCTTGCAAAGCCACTAACACACACACAGCGTTTCGGGCAGGTCCTTAATGTAACGAGTAATTATAAGTAGGTAATTTGTAGCAAAATTTGACGAATATTAATAGGTACACAGTAGCATAATTTAAGGATTATCAACAGGTACACAGTAACATAATTTAAGGATTATCAACAGGTACACAGTAGCATAATTTAAGGATTATCAACAGGTACATTGTAGCATAATTTGAGGATTATCAACAGATACATTGTAGCATAATTTAAGGATTATCAAGAGTTACTCTGTAGTATAATTTGAGGATTATTAATAGGTAAATTGTAGTCAAATTTGCATTCAGTACAAGAACCATGATATAAGTTGATAGCAATGATTACAATGATGAAGTTGCATAGCTTAGGCACATATATTGGGGGAGTGGGTAGCACAAGTTACAGGGCGAGTTTGAAGCACTATGTTGGAAACTATGAGGATGAAAATAGGTGCTTTTTGGTTTGACGTTCGAATAATGCATAACTTGTTCGGGAAGTGTTCGGATGTCATCAGTTGTGTGTGGTGTGTAAATGGTTTTGAATTCATAACCAGGGGGTTTGGCGGGTGCATGGAATGGACTGTTTGCCTTTGTTTATGAGGACGGGGTGTATTTGAACCTGTACACTTGGTTTGAATCGTCCTCATGGCTCCTACTGATTTTCTGAGTAATAATAATGATAGAGACCTCGGTTGCAAAACCTCTACACAGGCAAACATTTACGTGAGTTGTGATGTATTTATTTATTTAGTTATAAATATACAAGAAGGTACATTGGGTTTGTAAGAGTACATAGGTTTGTGTTTACATTCTTGTAAAGCCAATGTTGTATGCACAACGTTTCGGGCAGGTCCTTAATCTGACAGATAATACTAAGTAGGTAAATTGTAGCAAAATTTATAAAATGTAACAGGTACATTGTAAGAAAAAATTGTGAGAGATTAGTAGATATATTAAAGCACATTGATAGCTTTGATTGATAGCAGTGATAGGTTGATTGATAATTTGACAGAGATTAATAGGCACAATAAAGCATATATTGCAGAAACATGTGAGATAAGATACATATACGCCTGCTCAATGTTGTCTACAACTGATAATGTTTGTGTAATGTACTTGAGAAGTAATGACGTATTTACTGACAGAGGTGATAATGTTTGTCTAGTGTTGCTTAAATATTCATGAAATTTTGAATCTATAACTGTAGATATTATGTCATGCTAGAATATAATGAGAGCTTTTTCATGTCACATAAATTATAAAATATTTATAATATATATATATATATATATATATATATATATATATATATATATATATATATATATATATATATATATATATATATATATATTTTAAAATATATATACAGTATATATATATGCTCGAGTGTGGTAAGGTCCGGTTCCCTCAGTCTTTCCTCTTAGCACAAACCCTTCAGATCAGAAACTAGTCTTGTTGCATATGTTTGGATCTCTTGTAGTGTTTTGTTTATTTATTGAAATAATAAACCTATTCTCGGTATTAAGAGTTTTATATCCTAGCATAATTTGATTTGTTGTTAATACCACATTCACTTGAATGGTCGAAAATTTAAATGCCCGATTATGCAAATCAATGAAATGTTATTAACCAGGCTATTGTGGAATGCGTATTGCATGATATGCATGAATGAGTGGATACCAGAAATTTTAGCCAAATATCCCCAGTTTGCTAACTGTAGGTAGTAACTAAGTGATTGTAACCTATCCACCGCTGCCCAGTGGATGGGGGGCGGTGTGCAGGACAAACATATAAATTTTGACACTAGCTCTCCACATATGTCAGTTGCTTAATTTAGAACCTGTACTTGAGGTCGATCTCGAACCCATTGTTGATGTGATGACTTATATTGAATTTTGTAACTAGCTCATCAAGATTGTAACTTGCTTAGCTAAATGAATTGTGGGGTTCAGTCCCTGAGCCCATTATGTGCCTCTGTAACCCTTTCCACTACCGCCCACAACATGGGTATGGGGTGCATAATAAATGAACTAAAGTAACTGATGCTGAGACACCTTAGTGTTACTGCAATGAATGTTTTAAAGTCTCGGTTTGGTACCAGTTAGGTACTCTTTTGAGATTCTTATTGTTAGTATTCACGGCCTGGCTGGTAGGACGGGAGTCTTGTACCTAAGAGGCCCGAGTTCGAATCTGCAATGATCCAAATGAATAACGTAGTATTACCCATGCTATTGTGGATTGTATCTTATATGTATACACACAGATAGAGGGGAGAGGAGATGATACATTATATATTATAGTTTTATTACCCAGGGGATGTTGTCATTATATTTGTATTATAGATATGGGGTTTATGCATGAAATGTTTCATTCAAAGAATTAGTTATGTTAGAATAAGAATAAATAGTGGTGCTAGCGCATTAAGTAAATATAGTAACTGTAAAATGCACGTTTTATTCACCATGGGATAATAAACTCCCATTAGCGATTATCTGATTGGCTGTTCAGGTGGATGTAGACACAAGAGTTTCTACAATACAATGTGAGGACGGGAAACCACTCTTCAGGGTTGCAACGTTGATTTACAGCGTTGTGGTTCGAACAAAATTCGTCAGTGAAGCACTTGTTCCGGAAGTGTTCGAACGAAATTAGTTGTAAGTCGTGTGTGAACCGTTTTTCATTCATAAACAGCTGGGGTTTGGCGGGTGCATGGACTTTGTTTTTGTTTAGAGGGCGGGCTGCTTGCTTGGCTAAATGAATTGTGGGGTTCAACCCCTGAGCCCATTATGTGGCTCCGTAACCCTTTCCACTACCGCCCACAGGATGGGTATAGGGTGCATAATTAATGAACTAAAGTAACTCGATGCACGTTGGGAAACGGCCGCAGCTTTAATGAGCCTGGCGTGAGGACTGATTGGTTAAATTGTAGCATGAGATAAAATAGAAAGTGCGCAAAAGGCAACCTAGCCTTAATTAAACATAGAAAAGTTGAAAAAAAAGAAAAAAAATGGCTAACCTATAGTAATTAGTGTATATGAGAGTATTGAACTCATATGCCACGACTCATGGCGCCTATAAATGTTAAGCCTATAAAAAAGAATTAGTGTAAAAAACTGTCGAGACTTTTGAAATTGAAATAAGTGTACTGAATTATAAATACACTCAAATACACACTTGAGCCGCCCCTACAACACGGGAGAGATCAGAGAAAATGGGACAGGAGTCGGGAGAAGAGAAGCGACCAGTCTTAACAACAACAACAACAACAACCTCCTCCCCCAACAGTCCCTTAAATCAACAACGTCGTCTACCTCTCACGCTCCCGTCTTGGGTTGGTACAGTTATAGTAGTATGTATTGTAATCAGTGATTTGTATTCGCGTAACCCTTGTCTGGTGGGTATGTGATACACTAAAGTGGTAACCAAGAGTCATTCCAGGGCAGAGTTTCCCCAGACATGGTTGTCAACGGTCCATGACGTCCGGCCTTAGCCCTACCAGGGTTTTGTTTTAAAGATATATACAAGAGTTGCTACATTCTTGTACAGCCACTAGTACGCGTATCGTTTCGGGCAGGTCCCTGGAATACGATCCCCGCCGCGAAAAATCGTTGTTACAGCCAAGTACCCATTTTACTGTTGTGTTAAGCAGAGGCTACAGTTAAGGATTTGCCTGCAGTAAATCCTCCCCGGCCAGGATACGAACCCATGACAAAGCGCTCGCGGAACGCCAGGCGAGTGTCTTACCACTACACCACGGAGACTGTAGATTCCATCACACCCAGAGGGCAGTGTGGTCAGGCGGAGGATCTTTTTGACGCCTATAAGGTAGCCAACGATAAAGAGCAATATGGACACACTTTGGGGTGGCATTGCTTCCAGACACTCTTCAGGAGGTGCGAGCCGTGGTTATGAGGCCGGCAGCCGAGGTCTGGTGCAGCCATGTTATGTCGCCAGTCTCACTCTTGTGTTCATGATATCCTCATAATGGACCCGGAGTCTGCCAGTGCAGACTCCTTATCACGTGCCTCTGTATGACTAACCATCCTGTGTGATAGAGATTTTTAGCATCGCGTAGCTAGTTTTTTGACACTGTACTCCCCTTCATATAGTCGAGAGCAGATGTACCTAAATGTGTTAACAAAAATATAAAAAGCTGACCTGCACCTCACAAATAGCAGGTATTCTAGCCTTGGGGATTTGTATTTAAACATAATGTTATTTTCTGCTGCCCAATCGAAAATTAGGTTGAGATCTGCTTGAAATTTTTCCATGTGTTGAGCAGAGGTAATATTCATGCTGATTTTTGTGTTATCTGCAAAGGATGACACGAAGCTGTGCTTTGTATGTTTATCTATATCTGATATGAGAATAAGGAACAGCATTGGTGCAAGGACTGTACCTTGAGGTACAGAGCTTTTAACTGCGCTTGGACTTGATTTTATTTGATTGACTGTTACTGTTTGTGTTCTGTTGGACAGGAAATTGAGTATCCAGCGTCGTACTTTACCAGTTATTGCCATTGAGGTCATTTTGTGTGCAATCACTCCATGATCACATTTGTCGAATGCCTTTGCAAAGTCTGTGTATACTACATCTGCATTTTTCTTTTCTTCTAGAGAAGAAAATTTTGTGATTTTGTCATAGTGGTTGAGTAACTGTGACAGACAGGATGTTCCCGCTCTAAATCCATGTTGTCCTGGGTTATGTAACTCATTATTTTGCATAAAACTAGAAATTTGATTCCTAATCATTCTTTCAAAAACTGTTATGTGTGATGTTAGTGCAACTGGGCTATAATTGTTTGCCAAGGCTTTACGCACCCCCTTGTGCAAAGGAGGTATATCTGCAGATTTAAGTGCTGCTGGTATCTCCCCTGTATGTAGGAATGTTCTCAATATTACGGTGATTGCTCGAGTCACTGGTACTTTACATTTCTTTATGAATATAGAATTCCATGAGTCAGGGCCAGGAGCTGAGTGCATGGGCATATTGTCCATTTCTCTTTCAAAGTCTTCAGAGTTTGTGTTATTAAATATCCGTTATACTATCTGCAGCTTGAATGTCATTCATAAAGATGGTGTCTGGGTCAAGTTTAATGTTGTTTGTACTGTACTCTGTACCACCTACATGTACTCTGTACCCCCCACATGTACTGTGTACCCCCACATAATCTGTTACCCAACATGTACTCTGTACCCTGCACGGGGGGCCTGATTGCCTGGTGGATAGCGCGCAGGACTCGTAAACCTGTAATCCCCCACTCTCCCCCATATTGCCCTATCCTCCCCCACTCTCCCCATATTGCCCTCCTCCCATACTCCCCCCTCTCCCCCACTACTCTACTATAGTTTACTGTACTGTAATGTGCTATACCCTGTACTAAAATGTAGTGTATTGTAACCTGCACTGTACCCTGTACTGCACTGTAATTTACTGGACTGTCCTATACTGTATTGAACTATACTGTACTGAACTGTACTGTACGGTACAGTACAGTACAATACGTATCTATACTGTAGTATATAGTATGTACTATGGTGTACAGTTCTGTAGTATATAGTACTGTACTATATAGTATAATACAGTTTTGTACTGCACCCTGTACTGAAATGTAATGTATTGTATCCTGTACTGTACCCTCTATTGCACTGTACTGTAATGTAACGCACTATCCTATGGTGTATTGTACTGTACTGAACGGTACTGTACTGTATTGTACGGTACTGTTCTGTACTGCACTGTACCCTGTACTGTACGGTACTGTTCTGTACTGCACTGTACTGTATTGTACCCTGCACTGTACCCTGTACTTTATGATACTGTATCTAAGCTTACCTAGCTTACCGTAGCCTAGTCCAGTGTAGCCTAGCTTGCTTAGCTTAGCTTAACATAGCATAAGATAACGTCATTGTGTAAAAAACGACTCACAAGAGTTGAAATGATCAAAGTGTAACGCGCAAGATCTTTATTATTCAAAATGACTGATGACTTTGCGTAAATGTGCAAAAGACTATTTGATTGCTTTTGCGTAAATGTGTAAAAGACTTTTTGATTGCATGTTAAATCTAATCGTTATTACTAGTTGGAGTGTGTATCTATGGGTTAAATCACGCATATAAATATACATTGGTGTTGTTTAGGGAGGGAAATGAACGGTTGTAAAGGTAATAATGGAATAACAATGGTGGTTAGTGAAACTAGCGTCAGTTGCCATACAGCGCCATTACAGCAATCTGCTCCCTGTCCATCTCACGTGAAATTTGGTGTTTATTACGCGTTGTTACATTCAGGAAACAGTGATTTAAGTAGAAAAAATGATAATGGTGATGCCGTTGGTACAATTGAAATGCAATTAACGAAGTTTGAGTGTACGGTACTGTACTGTATTGTAATGTATAGGAGTGTACTGTATTGTACCGTACGGAACTATACTCTACAGTACTGTAATGTATGGTACCGTACGGAAGTGTACTGTAGTATACTGTACTGTACTGTGTTGTACTGTAGTTACAGCTTGAATAAGTATTCTTATTATTTAATCGTTATAATAATATTTATTTAATAATAAGTAATGAAAAGTTATAATTTGAGTGTAATGTAAAACATTGTTTCTCATACATTTGGTACATGTATGTTTCTCATACATTGGGTATACATTTTGGTGTATATATTTCAGTTTCAATAAATAATTGTCATTAATTACTAGATTATCGAATTCGGTGGAGCGGACCAATGAGAGTACAGGTTGCGAGAATGTGACGTCAACTGAAAATGAGAAAGGTGATTGGCTGTTGAGTCGACGTGGTGGGTGAGGATCAACGGAACGTTATTTTGACCCTAGTATTCGCATAGTAGTGGTGTACAAGTTAGTGTTAGGGCGTGTTGTTACTCTGAGCTGGTACCCCGTTACCCTTTGGGGTCGCTAGGGCTGACAGACCCCTAGCTTACACTCACTTTGTACACCGTCAAAACGCGAATACATAGGGTCAAAAATATATATTTATTACATGTGCCTTATCCTCTTGTGGGGTGATATATATACACGGTGATATTATTTTAGTGGTGACGTAGAATCATTACTACAATAAATGTATAAATGTTAGTTACGTGCAGAATTGTAATGTATTCATTGTTTTCAGCGTTGTTAGTGAAGGAGGTAAGTGTGAAGATGACGTATCGCGTGAAATGACCCGATTGGTGAGGACTCTGTGGTGGAGCGATGATTCAAGTCAGACCGTGGTGAGCAGAAGGTGGTGGTGGCGGCGGATGTCCCGGTTGAGGTAGATATGCTACTTGTGTAATACCTAGTTTCAGTTAGAGGTTTGGTAATATTTTGTTAGTATACCGTACTAACCCTTCAAATCTTTATAGAAGAACCCTAAGGCTTGAAATTTAAAACTGGAGGAGCACATACTAAATATGTAGTCGACTAAAGTGGTTAGTAGTATTAGCTGCTCAGAGGGTGGGAACCCACAGATCAGTTCCCAAACCAGTAGACTATCCAGGTGTGATCTATGGGTTAAAAATGGATATTTTAAATGAGCCGCTACATCAGTAATTTGTTTCAGTAAAGTAACTAGAGGTTCCACTTAAAGGTAGGGTATAGGGATGAAGTAACCATTTATATTGGTAGCATCCGGTAACTGTTGCCATGTTGCAGGTAATACCGGGACAGATTGCCAGGATGTGTGGAAGACAGCGATACCCGTCAACTTCACTATTGGTGAATACTTGGCCGTAAGTATGAATAGGCTTCTGTATAATTTTCGTGGGGATAGGTTTTAGGTTCGCGCACCCTTACTACAGACTAAAGGTGAGGGTTAATTTTGTGTGGGTTTCAATCACTTTGAGGCGGCGAAGAGTAGTTATGATACAACTTCCACAACATTGAAGGTGTTTGATGTGACAGGAAGCTAGTTTTGCAGTAATTGGTGTTGATGTTTAGAAAAAAGAATTAAGTTGAAATGAAAATCGTCAGTGTTGGTGGTAGTTTTGGGATATAAGCATTTAGTACGTTTGACAACGATGACGTTGACTAAATAAGTTAAGTTTAATTAGTCATGTTGGAGGGAGAACTGGCTGCAAAACACACAGTAGGAAGTAAAGTGTAAATATAATAGACGGGATGAGTAGGCATATTAAGAGAGCATGTAAAGACTGCGAAAGGTTCATAATGTAAGGACGTAAAATGTTTAGTTCATAACGTGGCCAGTAAGGCAATTATACCGGAATTAGGAATGACGTGTAACGCAGTCGTGTATATTGAAGCGTAACCCATTAGAGGTCTAGGTAAGTAAATTTACGTGACGATAAGCCGTTTAGGAAGGTAATTGGTCCGATTTTGGTGAAAAAATAAAAATCGATTGCGGGCAATGGAATTGGTTAAATAGGTGTTGGTTGAGAATAACGCAATTGGATGGGGATGGTGTAATTTTGACATTGAGGTGGTTAAATAAGTTTGACTTTGATCACTACAGGCATATTATGGCTTGGATGGTGAGTGCTTTCATATAATATAATAATGTTTATTTAGGTAAGGTACATAAGAGATTTTACAAAGAATGATGGATTTATAGATAGGGCTAGTACATAAAATGCCTAAAGGCACGTACGGAAAGCGTTTGGGGCATGAAAAACTTAAGTTTAGTCATTTAACTCATGTTTTTGTTCTCGATACTAATTGAGCATAAACAATGAGATAAAAATGGGGGAACATTGGTGAAAAAGCATGACAAATACAATTAGGTCGACAAACAGCGTTGTTTAAGACATGGGTTGACAATAGTGTGGTAAGGTAGGTTCCAGAGAATTGATTAGGTATAGCTTCGTTTTTGTTAAACTGGTTGAGAGGGGTACAGTCTTTAACATGGTTTGGAAGGTGATTCGACATTCTGGGTCCCTTGATTTGTAGAGCATTTATAGTTTAGATTAAGTCGTACTCTTTGAATATAAAAACTGTATTTATGGTGTGGTGCTCCTTGGTTCTGTTACAACCATCTCTGAAGGTTTTGATTTAAAACCAAACAGGCTTACACCATTGAATGACTCGGGCAAAGCAAACACTTAAGTATAAAAATGGCGTTTTGTTGGAGGATGGTGTTGGTTCCGGAAACTGCTTATTAAGACTAGTGAATAACTGTCGATAGTCTATGGCCTGAGTTCGCGCGTCGCCTTTAAAATTTGTTGATAGTGGTGTTCCCCCCCCCCCCCCCCCTGTAGTTTTTCGAAGGGTGTGGTTGTAATAGATATACTCATGTTGATAAGTAATGTTTATATGAATGTTGATAATGTTGAATAAAATGTACTTTCGCAGGTGAGAGGCTTGAGTACCTTTGACGTGGATAACATGGTGTGTAGGTACTTTATGGACAGACGTGCAATTGTTGAATAAAGTTGACGTCTTGCATAGAAGGTACGAAATAATGTTAAAAATTGTTGGAAATGTTTATTGTAGTGCAGAGTCGTTGATCATATAGTTTGATTGTTGTTAGCTATGCAGTTGGTATTGAATAGTTATTAAAGTTGTGTGTGTATAATGTAGAATTACAAGGAGAAATGTGGGTGGGGTTAGTGGGCTAAGAGCGTCGTTACTGTGCTCATAGAGGGCAGTACATGTCTTGTGAATGAATGGAAAAATATATAGATGTAAATATAATATTGGAGAATTGTTGAATCATAAATGAGTACAATAGATAATGAAGGGGAAAAATCTGAATTATTGTTTTGGAATATGATTAAAATGTAAAGGGGATGTGAATGTAGTTAATTTATTGTAAGAGTAAAGAAATATAAATGGTAAAAACAGGTTAGTGTGATAATTGTATGAGTAAATTTGAATCATAATTTATGTATGTTATTGGAAATGGGAAAGGCAATAAATACCTATATTATGTTTTTTAGAATTGCGAGATGATGGTAATGGAGAAGGTTGATTGGTAGAGGGAATCGGAGCCAGCGGACTTTGACGTACAACGGAACCAGAGGGTGAAGTGCAAGAATGATTTGTTGAAGAGAGGGATGACGCGACCCACACCGTGAATAACTGAAAGGAGTTAAGATTGACCGATACGAAGACTGGACAAAAAAGAGAAGGGGGGTTCCTGAATCGATAAGTGTTACAATGGCATTTGGTACCTGGAAGTGGAAATTGAGTGTTGCATTTAAAGACGAGATAATAATATAGTCGTATTGAGGGTGGAAGAATGTGTGTTTTGTTGCCTTAATACTTATTTCGTGAAACAGTGTTGGGAAGAGATAGAGGGGCCAAAATGCGTGGATGGTTAAAGAAGGGATGCGTGAAGTTTTGGAAAAGGTGTGAAATGAATGTTATGGAAGGATGTAGAGTAAATGTTAGTTAGCATGTCGTATTGTAAAACGCATATTTGTATACACGAGCAAAGGAGAAGTAATCGGTGTGTGGTTCTATAATATAATGTTAAAACAGAATATATTGATAATGTCGAATGCATTTGTGGTGTTGTAAGGACGTCATTGTGAAAGATGTACTGACAGTCATGTTAGCAGTAATGCATAAATAGTAGTGTACAAGTGAGGCAGTTTTGTGTTGGACAATACTAAAAGGCGTACTCGAAAACTAAGTGCGCAATAAGTGGAAATATGTACTATATATGACAATAATGGATTGTAGTTATTTACAGTTGGTATTAAATCGTAGTTTGAAATGTTGTTAATAATTGAGTTGACCAGAAAAGGAAAAAAAAACGTAAGGTAACCATGTTTTTTTATTGAAGAATAGGATGTTTTTTTATTGAAGAATAGGATGTTATTTGTTTGTAATTATATGTACTACTAAACCTATGGAGGGGCTGAGTCACAATAACGTGGCTAAAGTATGAGCAGCAGACCACACACTAGAATGTGAATGGACGAGGACGTTTCTGTCCGTCCTGATAGTGTGGTCTGGTCATCATACTTAACCTATACCTATATTGATAGTTAAGAAATAAAAACAAAAGTCTGTTTGAAATGTATTAATGTTCTTTTTTCACATAATAAAATGTGTAAAATAAAAGAAGCAATTCATTGATACATAAGTTGTATAGCAAATTTAACTGGGTTTTTAGAAGTGTGAAGATAAAACTAGGAGAATCAATGGTCGAGTTAAATGTAACAGCCCCATAATTAAACTTTAATGTTAGACATGTACTATGTATGATAGTGATTTATAGTTATTATTAATGTGCTGTCCATGTGAATTTTGATGATGGGTTGCAGCACTAATATGTATGAGTGACGTAGCTTAGATGTAAGGTGGTGTCTAAAGATAGTTTGATAAGATGACGAGGGGATAGCGTGACTGTGCTTGCTTTACATTCCTCTGTCGTCCTGTCTAAGCTCGAGTATGGTTGCCGTGCTTACTTGTCTGGCAATACTCTTCGCCGTGTTGATGGTTTCGACCATAGTGGGTTACGCCTCGGTTGTGGTCGCTTTCGTGTGAGTCCGTCGTCAGGTTGTATGTTGACAGTGGCTTCGTGTCTCTCCAGGAGCGCTGTGATCGCTACTGTGTTCGGTATCTTGCACGATCCTTGGAAGATCGTTGCTGTGTGGTGGTTTAACTTTTAGCCGTGGTGCGGTTCGTGTTGCTCTTCACCACCTCCCACTTTCGGACGTGTTATGTTGCTTACATGATTGTGTTTATAGTTTTAAGGTTTCTCGTCATTTTGTTCGTTCCTTGCCTCTGTGGAGTGTACCCTTTGTCAAGTTTTGTAGGTCCTTGACTTGTATTAGTACTTCGCAGTCCCACTCTATTTCCATCTTCAGGGAAGGGTCTAAGTCTGCGGAGGGTGTGAGGTACTGTTGTTTTTCCTGACCGTAGTTGTGTGTCGCCTCCCTTCAGAGGGTAGCGTCTTTACGGGAGAACTTTATGCTAGTGTCTCCGTGTGTGGGTTTCTCATTCCTCGTTTGTGGTTGTAGTTGACTGTCGTAGTGTCATGATGGCTGTAGGGTCGTTTAAGGATGTCCATCGTCATCCTTAAACGTTCGTTGAGATTAAACATTTTCTGTATGTTATTTCTAGTAAATTGAAATGGGTAGTTTTGATTGGTTCGCAGCCATATTGGTGTCTTTCAATGAGCGTGCGGATGCTGCCGCTAAGGGCGCTATCGGTTTTTGTCCCATCTCCCGTAAAGGTATTCCTTATTCCGAATTTTTTTTATCCTGTTATTCATTCTTCCCCGTTGGCAGGGTTGTTCGTCTGCGGTTGGTAACAAGCTGCGTGCTCTCAAACGTAGTGTCTCCCCCCCCCCTACCCCGTAAGTGGGGGTGGGAAACTGGTTTGGCTGGGCTGCGGGTTTGGCATACTCGCTTAACCCATGGTCACTTAATGGAGCGCCGCCCTGCTCCTTATTGTGCGAATTGCGTTGTCCCTCTTACAGTTGTGCATATACTTGTTGAATGTCCTGACTTGGAGGACGAGCGTGTGTCTTGGTTTCCGACCGTCCCCCGCGGTCGCTTGTCTAGATAATAATCTTGGTGACTGTGATAGTTGTGATATCGGTCGGGTGATGCGTGTTTGTTATAGTATTGGTGTCCTTTGTGATAAGTAGCAGGCTCTGAATATCCCGCACATTTGTTGGTGGTACATAGCGTTGCCGGTTTTGTGCCATCGTTTGATATTGTTTTGAAATGAAAGAAATATGGGGAAGCATTTATTAGTTTAAATTGTGAATAGCATATATGGGTTTTGATTTGAATCGAATAACGGAGGTGGTATGCGGTTCATAGTTATATTGTACTTAGCCGGGCAGCCTATCCACGCGTCTTTGTACCCTGTTGATAATGAGCTACGTAGTTTATAAGTGAGAAATTATGATTATCTTGATTAGTGTCATGAGTGTGGGGGGGGGGGGTCATGTGAAATGTTGCAATTGGCAGGTTGTGAAGGGAAGATTGACTGATATGTATGTAAAAGGTATGAAGTTTGTCTTCCATACTTGAGTATTGAAGCGGCGTATGGTAAATGACATTGATGTACATATTGAGATTGCTTGAGGAAGCCGATAATGTTTTAACATGGGTCTGATATACCCGAAAAGTAAGAGGTTGAGACATGTATGCTGTCGTTAACAGGCGATGCATGTCGTGTGATGACTGGTGTGGTTTGTAGGCGTGGCTAGCAATAAATGTGTTAGTAGGTAATAAAATGTAGTTTCGTAATCATTGTGTGATTTTACCTTGGCAGTAAAATGACATATATTGTTGACGAATCTGTATTGATTATTTAATAAACATGAATATTGAGTAGTATTGTTCAATACTATTCGAGTAGTATTGTTGCGTATTCTTCAATATTCAATATTATTCTTCAATATTCAATATTATTCTTCAATATTATTCAATAATATTGAATCATATTATTCAAATGAAGAATATTCTTCAATATTGAAGAATATTATTCTTCAATATTGAATATTCTTCAATATTGAATATATTGAATAATATTCAATATTGAATAATATTCTTCAATATTGAATAATATTATTCAATATTATTGAATAATATTCTTCAATATTGAATAATATTAATAATATTGAATAATTCTTCAATATTGAAGAATAATATTGAATATTCAATATTATTATTGAATATATTCAATATTATTGAATAATATTCAATAATATTCAATATTATTCTTCAATATTGAATATTATTCTTCAATATTGAATAATCTTCAATATTGAATAATATTATTCAATATTGAAGAATATTATTCAATATTATTCTTCAAATATTTATTCAATATTATTGAATATATAGAATAATATTATTCAATATTGAAGAATAATATTCAATATTGAAGAATATATTCAATATTATTGAATAATATTCAATATTATTCTTCAATATTAAAGAATAATATTGAATATTATTCAATATTGAAGAATAATATTGAATATTGAAGAATAATATTGAAATAATATTGAATAAGAATATTCTTCAATATTGAAGAATATTATTCAATATTATTGAATTAATATTCAATATTGAATAATATTATTCAATATTGAAGAATAATATTCAATATTGAAGAATAATATTGAATATTATTGAATAATATTCAATATTGAAGAATTATTATTCAAATATTCAATAATATTATTCTTCAATATTTATTCTTCAATATTGAATAAGAATAATATTGAATATTGAAGAATATTGAATTCAATATTGAAGAATATTCTTCAATATTGAAGAATAATATTCAATATTATTATTCTTCAATATTGAATATTCTTCAATATTGAAGAATATTATTCAATATTGAATAATATTCAATATTATTCTTCAATATTGAATATTATTCTTCAATATTGAAGAATATTATTCAATATTGAATAATATTCTTCAATATTGAAGAATATTATTCAATATTGAAGAATATTATTCAATATTGAATAATATTCAATCTAATATTGAATAATATTATTCAATATTGAAGAATATTATTCTAATATTGAATAATAATATTATTCAATATTGAAGAATATTCTTCAATATTGAAATATTATTCTTCAATATTCAATATTATTCTTCAATATTGAATATTATTCTTCAATATTAATAATATTATTCAATATTGAAGAATATTATTCAATATTGAATAATATTCTTCAATATTGAATATTTATTCTTCAATATTGAATATTATTCTTAATATTGAATATTATTCTTAATATTCAATATTATTCTTCAATATTGAATATTATTATTCAATATTCTTCAATATTGAATAATATTCTTCAATATTGAATATATATTCTTCAATATTGAATAATATTCTTCAATATTGAAATATTATTCAATATTATTATTCAATATTGAATATTATTCTTCAATATTCAATATTATTCTTCAATATTATTATTCTTCAATATTGAATATATTCTTCAATATTGAATAATATTCAATAATATTGAATATTATTCAATATTCAATATTCAATAATATTCTTCAATATTGAATATTATTCTTCAATATTGAATATTCTTAATATTGAATATTATTATTCAATATTCAATATTATTCTTCAATATTGAATATTATTCTTCAATATTGAATAATATTATTAATATTGAATATTATTCTTAATATTGAATATTATTCTTAATATTCAATAATATTCTTCAATATTCAATATTATTCTTCAATATTGAATATTATTCTTCAATATTGAAGAATATTATTCAATATTGAATATTATTCTTCAATATTGAATAATATTCTTCAATATTGAAGAATATTATTCAATATTGAAGAATATTCTTCAATATTGAATAATATTCTTCAATATTGAATATTATTCTTCAATATTAAGAATAATATTCAATATTATTCTTCAATATTGAATAATATTCTTCAATATTATTGAATATTATTATTCAATATATTATTAATATTATTTAATATTATTGATTATTATTCAATATTGAATAATATTCTTCAATATTATTGAATATTCTTCAATATTGAATAATAATATTGAATATTAATATTGAATATTATTGAATAATATTGAATAATATTATTCAATATTGATTAATATTCTTCAATATTGAATATTATTCTTCAATATTGAATATTATTCTTCAATATTGAAGAATAATATTCAATATTATTGAATTCAATATTCAATATTATTGAATAATATTGAATATTATTCTTCAATATTGAATATTATTCTTCAATATTAATATTCTTCAATATTGAATATTATTCTTCAATATTGAATATAATATTATTCAATAATATTGAATATTATTCTTCAATATTGAATATTAATATTCAATTGAATATTATTCTTCAATATTGAATAATATTCTTCAATATTGAATATTATTCTTCAATATTGAAGAATATTATTCAATATTGATTGATTCAATATTGAATATTTCTTCAATATTGAATATTATTTCAATATTGAATAATATTATTCAATATTGAATATTATTCTTCAATATTGAATATTATTCTTCAATATTAAATAATATTCTTCAATATTGAAGAATAATATTGAATAATAATATTGAATAATTATTCTTCAATATTCAATATTATTCTTCAATATTCAATATTATTCTTCAATATTCAATATTATTCTTCAATATTCAATATTATTCTTCAATATTGAATATTATTCTTTAATATTGAAGAATAATATTGAATATTGAAGAATAATATTGAATATTATTCTTCAATATTGAATATTATTCCTCAATATTGAAGAATATTATTCAATATTATTCAATATTGAATAATATTATTCAATATTGAATACTATTCAATATTATTGAATTCAATATTGAAGAATATTCTTCAATATTGAATAATATTCTTCAATATTGAATATTATTCTTCAATATTGAATATATATTCAATATTGAATATTCTTCAATATTGAATAATATTCTTCAATATTGAATAATATTATTCAATTGAAGAATAATATTCAATATTATTCTTTAATATTGAATATTATATATTCAATATTATTGAATAATTATTGAATATTATTCTTCAATATTGAATAATATTATTCAATATTGAAGAATATATTGAATATTAACTATTAATATTAAGAATAATATTGAATAATATTCTTCAATATTGAAGAATATTATTCAATATTATTCTTAATATTCAATATTGATTGAATATTCTTCAATATTGAATATTATTCTTCAATATTGAATAATATTCTTCAATATTCAATATTGAATATTCTTCAATATTGAATATTATTCTTCAATATTATTCTTCAATATTGAATATTATTCTTCAATATTGAATATTATTCTTCAATATTGAATAATATTCTTCAATATTGAATAATATTCTTCAATATTGAAGAATATTCTTCAATATTATTCTTCAATATTCAATATCTTCAATATTATTCTTCAATATTGAATATTATTCTTCAATATTGAATATTATTCTTCAATATTGAATAATATTCTTCAATATTGAAGAATATTCTTCAATATTGAAGAATATTCTTCAATATTGAAGAATATTATTCTTCAATATTGAATATTATTCTTCAATATTGAATATTAATATTTATTCTTCAATATTGAATATTATTCTTCAATATTGAATATTATTCTTCAATATTATT